CGCCGCCCGCGGCCGCGCCGCCCGCGGAGCCGGAGCCGCGGCCGCGGCCGCCCTGCGCGGCGGTCACGGCGAACGAGGCGCTGAAGCGGCGCATCGAGGAGAACAAGGCCGCGGCGCTCGCGCGGAAGCGCTCGCGCCAGTCGCCCGCGCGGCCCGCGGCGGCGCCGCGGCCCGCGACGCCGCCGCCGCCGCCGCCGCCCGCGCCGCGCGCGCCGCGGCCGCGGCTCGGCCTCCTGCGCGGCGAGGCCGTCGACCGCGCGCTGGCCCTCGGCCGCGGCGACATCCTCGAGATCCACGGCAAGGCCGGCGCGGGCAAGTCGAACCTCGCGCACACGCTCGTCGCGCTCACGCTCGCGCGGACGGCGCCCGGCGCGAAGGTCCTCGTCGTCGAGACCAAGGGCCGGAGCGCCGCGCGCGCGTCGCTCGCCTTCCTCAAGGCCCGCGGCGGAAACGCGGACCGCGCGCGGGACCTGCTCGTGTCGTCGGCGCACGACGCGGAGGTGCTCCTCGCGACGCTCGCGCGCGACGCGCCCAAGGTCTGCGCGGCCCACGGCGTGTCGCTCCTCGTCGTCGACTGCCTCGCGGACGTCGTCCGCGCGCTGCCGCCCCGGGAGCGGCGCGCCGCGCTCGCGGACGCGCTCGCCGCCGTCGCCGCGCTGTCGCAGGCGCACGGCGTCCCCGCGGTGCTCACGAACCACGTCTCCGCGGACTTCTCCGACGGCGCCGACCCGAGCGCCGTCGTCGCCGCCGACGACGCGACCTTCGCCAAGGTCGCGACGGCGCGCCTGCGGCTCACGCGGAGCGCGGCCTCCGGCGAGCGGTCCGCGACGCTCGTCACGGGCGCGCGCGACGACTTCGGCGACCTGCCGTCGTCGCACTTCGCCGTCACCGCCGCGGGCGTCGCGGACGCGGGCGAGCCGGGGGACTGGATGGCGGACGTGGGGTAAAGAGAGCTGTTCGCTAGCCTTACTAGGGGATCTCACGCGTCGAGTTGCGCCAGGCGCGTCTTTGCTTGCTCGCTGCCCTTGGCGGCGGCCCGCGAAAGCCAGAATTTGGCTGCGTCGAGGTTGGCGTCTTCTCCGCAGGAATAAATACCGCCCAGGATGAACTCCGCGTCCATAAGGCCTTGTTTTGCCGCTAACCAGACGTAACGGAGCCCCTCCTGTTCTGTCTCCTTGTTTTTCTCCCCTAGAATCTCCATTCCCAACTGGAACTGTGCTACTGGATGGCCCCGGTCCGCGGCCACGCGACTCAGTTGCATGGCCTTGGTCTCGTTCATCTTGACGCCCTGTCCGTTTTTGTACAAAATCGCAAGATTCCACGTCGCATTAACGTCTCCGAGCTCTGCCGCACGTTTATACAATCTCGCACCCTTCTTGGTAGATATCACGAGCTCATGGCTACCAGAAAAGTAGCAATCCGCCAAAAAACCTACGTGGATTCGGCTTGGTTTGTAGGCTCCGGACGAGACTACGTAGGCACCCATGCGCCGACACTGCAAATGACTGATCGCTTCTGGCACATCATTTTCCATGTGGCGACGAATGTGAGCCAGACACTCCGCATGAGTCTTCGGCGCCGGCTTACGACAGAGGGGACACGGCTTGTAGCCGATCTTGTGGTGGCACGACTCGCAGACCTTCAGGCAGCAACACGGACGCATGTTTTGCCACTCATTCACGTCCCAGTCCTCGAAGCAAACTGGGCACCGGCTCCCAAATCGCGCCGACAGCGGCTCGGGCTCCGGGTTCGCCTCGCGCCGCGCGCGAGCGGCCTCGTGTTCCGCGGCGATGCGCGCGCGGACTTCGTCGGCGTGCGACCGCGGCGCGGGGCCGTAGAACACCTCCTTTGGCGGCGACGGCGGGGGCGTCGGCGCCTCGGCCCGCGCCGCCTCCGCCGCGCGCTCGTCTCGGATCTTCTTGCACGCCGTCCGGTGGCCGCGCTCGCGCCAGTCGACCTTCTGACAGGCGACACTGCAGTACTGGGCGGTTCCGCAGGGGCATGGGAGCTTCGCTTTCGCTCCGCAGATGGTGCAGGTCGTACGGAGCTTAGCGTTCTTCACCCGGGCCATGCGCTCTTCATATTCTTTTTGCTTCTTCTCCCAGTCGCGCATCGTGCGGTCCTCGTCGTAGCGAGGGCTCGTGCGGTCTCCTTCGCGTGTTCTGGGGCCTGTTCCGTCTCTTGTGGCGGACGGGGGGGGGCGCTCTTACGGGGCGACGAGCGCGTGCGGCGAGCCTCTTTTCGCCACAGCAAAAAAAAAGCAGGGCAAAAAGCCGGTGGCTCGACGCCGCGCCGCGGAATCATGAGCACCTCCTGCAACGCCTTCTCCAACGGTGAGACGGGAAATGTGATTACGGATCGCCCCACTTCGCGCGTCCTCGCCCCGCCCGGCGGCGGTTCGTCGTTGGGATCGCTTCTCGCGTGGGACGAGCCGGCCAAGAAGGAGGACGTCGTCGTCGAGATGGTGCCGCCCGCGGGAAAGGCTCCGGCGCCGCCGCCGGACGGTCCGCCCTGGGCGACCAAGGTGCCAATGCCGCAAGGGGACGACGCGCCGGCCGCGCGCGCCGCGCTGGTTCCGCCCGCGCCGGTTCCGCGCCCGCGCGTCGAGGCCTTCGAGACCGAGGCCCCGGCGGCCCCGCGCCCCCCCTCGCCTTCGGCGCGAACACGCGCCACGGGTCCAACGCCTTCGCGAACGGCGCGAGCCAGAACACGGGCAACGTGCTCACGGACCGCTCGACGACGCGGCTCCACGCGCCGCCGGGGGGCCACTCGACGCTCAAGCTCTGGTAGGCCGCGTCCAGACCCGCCATGCCGCGTCGCCTCCGGAGTTCTGCCACGCGGTCCTCCGACGGCGCAGCAAGAGCCACCGGCCCCCCTTTGACCGCGCCGCGGCCTCCGCCGCCCGCTCGCCCCGACCTCCCCTGAACACACTCTTAGCCGTGGAACGGGCACCGGTAGCTCCCGTCGTGGTGGACGCGGAGCGCGCCGCGCTTCGTGTCGATGCGGCCGAAGTTCCACTTGCGCCCGTTCGCGTGCATGTAGATGTCCGTCAGGTGGCGCAGGTCGTCGCAGAGCCGGCAGACCGCGGGCTCCGAGAAGGCCGCGTAGGAGTCGTCGTAGTTCGAGCTCAGGTCGAGGACGCGGAGCTTCGGGCAGCAGCCGGCGACGGCCTCGAGGTCGTCGTCGTAGTCGCCGGGCGCGTCGTCGTAGTCTCTCGTGCGCTCGTAGAAGGCCTGCGTGTCCCGGAGGGCCATGGCGAGCGAGAGGTGGACGAGGCGCGGCGTGTGCTGGACGATTTGGGCCACGGCGCCCCTGGCCACCTGCTCCTGGAGCACGAGCGACGCGAGCGTCGCGCCCCAGAGCTTGAACGTCGCGAGCTGCGGCGCCGAGACGCTCCAGTGCGTGAAGTCGTAGGGCTTGTCCCCGACGACGACGAGCTCGCGGAGCTTCGGCGCGGCGGCGTGCCGCTTCGCGAGGTCCGTCGGGTTGACGACGAACCGGTTCAGCAGCGCGAGCGTCGGGTGCGACCCGCTCTCGGGGCAGCGGACGCCGTCGACGTCCCTCAGCTTCGGGCACGCGCCGAGGGCGTCGAGGAGCCGCGGCGCCGTCGGCTTGCAGCGCCCGTCGCAAAAGGGGTCGAGGTGGAGCGTCTCGAGGGCCTCCGCGAGCGCGGAGTCGCCTACCGAGCGCGTCGGTGATGATTTTTCTCTCGGTCGACATCTCTCGAAAATCGTCGCGGCCGCAGGACGCTGGGAGTCGCCCTCGAGCGCGCCGGCGAGGCTCTCCATCTCGACGATCGACGCGCGCGCTTTGCCCGAGTTCCGGTCCGAAAAGCGGAGGAACGCGAGCGAGCAGTCGCGCAGGACCGCCGCGGCCCGCCGCCCGGGCACGGCCGCGCCGGGCGACGCGCCGCCGCCCTTCTCGACGTCGACGTAGACGAGGCTCGCCCTCGCGGCGCCGAGCGCGGCCGCGAGCGCGCCGTCGTCGAGGCCTGTGTGGAAATCAAATCTTCAACCCTACTTCAATGTGTGCGTACGCGACAGTTTCGACGCAAGCTCTTTGGCTGTGCTTCGAGAACTCGACGAGAGCAATCGATTCGTCCAAAAATCAGCCGAATCGACTTCGATTTGACCGAGCTAGAGAATTCTGAAGCTTGGTCAGGACCACCCAAACCAGTGGTCGAATTCCACACAGGTCGAGGCCCGCGCACTCCGAGAAGCGCAGGCTCTCGATCGTCGGCGGTAGAGCGGCGAGCATCGCGGCGTCGACGGCGCACTCCGTCAGCGCGAGCGACCGGAGCGACGAGCATTTCGAGAGCGCGGCGCCGAGCACGGAGGGCTTGACCGTGGCCTTGAGCGTCGCGAGCGCAACCGCGGCGATCGCCGGGCCGCACGCGGCCGCGAGCTTGCCGCCGTCGCAGCGGTTGGAGCCGTCGGCCGCGGACTGGAGCTGCGGGTGGCAGCCGTCGAGCACGCCGGCGGCGGGCACGCCGGCGTTCTCGAAGCGGCGGTAGCGGTAGGCGCCGTCGCGGACGGGCGCGTCGTAGTAGCGCGACGACCCGCCGAGCGCCGCGGCGAAGCAGGCCCAGTTGCGCTCCGACAGCCTCTTGTTGAAGCGCACGAAGCTCGGCGGGTACTTGGAGATCGGCGCCGCGCGGCCGGCCGCGAGGTCCGGGCACGGGGGCCACGACCGCTCCTCGGACGTGTCCTCGACCCGCGGCATCAAGGGATCGCAGTAGAACGACGACGGGGGCGGCGCGTCGGGATCCACCGCGTAGAGGGGATCGGACGGCGCGGAATCGACCACCTTCGAGGCGCCCTGATGCACGAAGTTCACCCGGGGCGCCGGCGGCGGCTCGTCGTCCTCGGACGCCGTGTCCAAGTCTAAGTTGTCCCACTTGGCGTAGGCAGCGTCGAGAGAGCTCATGTCGATGCAGTGAGGCAGGCAGCTACGGAGAGCACAATGTCATCTGCCACAAGCACCGAGTCAAACAAAGCGATTCAGCAGCTTGAACATCACCTTGAAGATACTAATGCGCCTCACTCCTCGGCGAGGCCGAGGAGCGTCGTGAGGAGCATGGTGTGGAGGCGCGCGAGCTTGGCTTCGTCGACGTTGCGCGCGAGCGTGTCGCCTTCGCCGTGGAGCTCGCCGTTTGCCGCGCCCGACAACGCCACGAAGGCCGCGCCGTCGTCGACGAACGCGGCGGCCTCGCCGCGGGGCTCGGCGGGCGCCGCCGCGTCCCGCTGGCCCAGGGCCCGGAGGGCCCGGAGGCCCGCGTCGCGGCGCCTCCGCGTCGACGCCTGCCAGACGACGCCCGACCCCTTCGCGGCGACGTCCGCGCCGATGAGCACCCAGCAGTGGGCCGCGGCCGCGTCGCGGGCGTCGAGGCGGCGCGCGAGGCCCGGGTGGCCGACCTCGCGCCCCGCCGCGGCGACGAACTCGACGGTCCGCCGCGGCCGCGCGGTCGCTAGGAACCGCGCGCACGCGAGCCAGAGCGCGACGGCGCCGCCCGCCTCGCCCGTCGCCGCGCGCCAGGCCGTGCGCTCGCAGGCGACGACGACGGGGGCGAGGCCCGCGTCCGCGCCCGGGACGGTCGCGACGACGTTCGACGTGAACGACGCGTCGCGCCGGACCGTCGCTTTCACCTCGAGCCGCATGCCCGCCTTGGCCGTCGCGAAGAGCCAGGCGCTCTCCTTCGCGTCGACCTGGACGACGGGCGGGCCGTAGGGCTCGGCGTAGGCCTCGGCGTCGCGGAGCCGGAGGCCGCCGCGCGTCGCGACGACTATAGCGTCGAAGGTCCCCGCGTCGCGCGCGGCGTCGACGGCGTCGTTGTCCTCCTCGACGGGGCTGCCCCACAGGACGCCGACGCCCCCCGCGCCCGGCGCGGCGGCGAGGGACGCGGGCGCCGCGACGCCGCGCAGGTCCGTGTCGCCGCCGTCGGCGTACGCGACGCCCGGCACTGTTTTGACGCCGTCGCTCACGGAGCAGACGCCCGGAGTTCGCCGCGGGAAGGGGAACTCGTCGACGCTCGCGGCGAGGGACGCCCGGGCGAGCTCGTCGACGAGCCACGCCGCCGTCGCGCGGTCGCCGGCGCCGCCCGTGCGGTGGTCTCCCAGGGCCTCCCAGCGCCGCAGGTCCGCGAGGAGCTGCCGCCGCGGCTCGAGCGCCTCGCGGGTGAATTCCACCTCGTCGTCCCGCGGCCGCTTCGACGGCGTCTCGGGGCTCTTTGCCCGGGACCGCTTCGGGGAGACGGCGGCGCGGACCATCGTGGGCTGCGTCTCTAACCGTGGCTTCAACCCTTCGGATCCCGAAAGTGAAGTAGGCTTGAAGTCCTGTAGGCCTACTATTGAAGTGTAGGCCTTCCTGTACGACTCGGAGCCACTTCCCGACTCGGAGCCCTGACGTCGGCACGAGAGAGCGATCGCCCACGTGACAACCCAGAAGTACGCGGTCGCGGCATTAGCATACGGCGCGAGCGGTGTTGGGGGCGAGCGACGGGGAGCGGGGCGGGCGCGGCGGCGGCGGCCCGCGCGGCGGCGGCGGCGAATCAGCACGTGTCGAGCGTCCGGCGGACGAGATTGCCCCGTCTCACGCCTTGAGCTTGTCCTTGAGCACGGGCGTGAGGTACTCGGCGAGCTTGAGGGCCTCGATGGCGATCTCGATGGTCGCGACGCCCGGCGGCGTCGTCTTCGCGAGCGCGTGCGCCGCGCAGACGGACTTGAGCTTGGCGTACTCGACCTCCTGCGTGTAGAGGTAGGAGAACCAGTCCGGGTGGGCCGCGGCCTGCTTGGCGACGTCCTTGGCGCGCTCGTCGCCGACCATCTCGGCCTCGAAGAGTTTGGAGCCGGACGCCTTGTCCGTGACGACCGCGCAGCAGCCGTCGCCGGCGCAGCGGTCGCTGGAGATGCGCACCTTCGTGCCCTGGTCGTTGACGAGGGTGAAGTCGATCTTGCTGAAGTCCGTGAAGCCGCCCAACGTCAGCATCTCGCAGCCCTCCGCGTTCAGCTGCACGTCCGTGACGTTCGTCGACCGCATGCCCCAGAACTGGCAGGCGAGCGCGATCTCGTGGATGGCCATGTTCTTGAGCATGCCCTCGGAGTTGCGCGAGAAGCACTCGCCGAGGTTCTCTTTGGTGTAGTCGTTGCGCGAGACGAGGAGCGTCTCGACGTCCGCGCCCTTTGGCGCCGCCGCCGCGGCGGCGAGGGCGCCCTCGACGTAGTCCGAGATGTTCTTGATGAAGCCCATGAAGACGGGCACGCCCTTCTCCTTGGCGAGCGCCGCCATCTCCTCGAGCTCGCCGACCGTCGGCGCGCCGGGCTTCTCGAGCAGGATGTGCGTCGCGCCCGCCGCGATGGCTTGCCGGAAGAACTTCGGGTTGTCCGGCGTGCGGCCGGCGATGAGGCAGACCTTGGGACCGCTCGAGACCTTGCCGAAGACCGACCCGTCGTCGAGCGCCGCGTGGAACGACACGCCCTTGGCGCCCCACTCGCCGACGAGCTTCTGGAACTCGACGCCCGGCGGGCTGTCCTTGCCGCCGCCGAGGAACCAGGGCTCGACGACGTCCGTCAGCTTCGCCTTGCCTACGGTGCGTCGCGGTCCACGCCGCGCGGCGCGGATACTCGGGCGCCGCGCGCCGCGCCGATGTCGCCGTTCACGAGCTGCAGGCCGTGGAACCAGCCCATGCCGCGGCCGGGCAGGCCGCAGCCGACGATGCAGTAGCTCGCCTCCTCGCCGTTGAACATGTCGGCCATTTTCGTGAGGATGTCGCCCATGGCTGCCTGCGGCGACAGGTGTTGCACATCGCCAAGCTCGATCAAAGCGGCGTCGCAGCGCGTTTCTTTCGCGCGCGCGCGCTCGGGCGCGACGACGCGACTCTCGCGAAGTAGTTTCTCTGCGTGTGGACGCCTCAGGTGTGGCAGACGCGGGTTCGCACTGCGCGCGATCAGGCCTCGATTGCGTCGCGTCGTCGTGGTAAAAGTACAATGCACTAGAAAAGCAACATCATAAGTTGAAGTGTAGTCGACTCCTTTGCAGCCTCTGGTGCGCCCGTGCAATGGCCGCTGCGATGTCAGCTGGGTCCGGTGGAACCTTGCGACGCCGCGACGACGCTCCCTCGTCGCGCATAGCCGAGTTATGGTGCACCGGTCGCTGGGAACGCGACGGCGCGGCGGGCTACGGAACCCGCTTTGGAGCACGTTCGAGCGCGCCATGAGCTCCACGAAGCGATCCCAGAGTCTGCGGCTGCCCGTGCTTGGCGCGCTGAGTTGCCTGGGACCCCGCGCGGACGAGCGCGCCTTGTGGACCCCCAAAAGATAGTGATCATGCCATGGTAGTGTGTGCGAATGGGTCCACATGCAGCCCTTTTTCGGCACATTTTTTGCCACAGCGTCTATTGCTAAAACGCAGGGGCGCGCGCGCCGATTTTCGCCGACCCGCTGCCGATGGCTCGGCAGCGCCTGTCTCTCGGGCGTGACCAATTTTGGTGCACTAAAACTCGGATCATCACATGAAGAAGTGCGCGGAGCCTGCGCAAAGCCCTAACTAGGGGAAACATGTTGTTTTTCTAGTGCATTGTACTTTTACTCACAGATCGGGATCCTCAAGCACGGCAATGTCGGCTGCAAAACGACGCCGCGGCGCGCGCCATGATCGGCTCGGCTCGCCCATGGATCGCTGACGGCAATTGCGACGTGCAGGCGACGCACGTGCCAAGCGTTCTGTGTTTCCGGGCGGTGGCCGGCCGCGGCGGCGCGATTGCCATGGCCCGGCATTCAGTGAAGCGATCAACGTACAGCGTCCGAGTCGGCGGGTCGCATCCGTGGCCCTTGAGCACCTGCAGTTTCGTCTGCTCCTGCGGCGCATCAGAACGGGATGAGATGATAATCCCGTCAACCACAGGCACTTCGAATCATGTGGTAGCGCTTCTTCGTAGTGCGCCGCCGAAGACCAGTCGAGCCTCTGAGTAATATACTGCTCGAAGCGGGCGCGCGAGTCGGTGATCGCGACAGCTACGGAAACACCGCGCTCCACTGGGCTGCCTTCAACGGACACACCGACATGTGCAAGCTCCTCCTGAGGTAACGACGACGACGACCACCCTCGCATCGCCGCCGCGGCGGCCCGCCGCAACGACGTCGAGCTCGCGCGCGTGCTCCGCGGCATCCGCCAGTCCGAGGCCATCCCGGCGGCCCTGGCCACCTCCCGTCCCAGGCAAAGGCGGGCGTTACGCGCTGCTGGACGCAGCCGCGCGGCGCCCCGCGGGCGCGCGCGCGGCGAGTTCGCCGAGCCCGGGCCGAGATTCACCGCGGTGCACCGTCAACATGCAGCGAGAGCCGATGATGCGCCTAGCTTGGTCGCAGAGCCGCAACAAACACCAAAAACCATGAACACGTTCTCCTGGCAGACGGAGGGCGTCACGGCCCGGTCCGACGCGCCGGCGTCGAGCGCCAAGGACGAGCGGTCCAACGCGGAGAAGCAGGCCGTCGTCGTCGACTTCCTGCGGTCGCGCGTCGGGTCGGCGGCCCTGAGCGCGCGGCAGATCGCCGCGGCGCTGAGCGAGGGCGGGGCGCCGCCCGTGGACTTGCGCGTCGAGACGGCCGTCGACGCCATGGTCCGCGCGAACGCGCGCGTCCGCGTGCAGTTCGACGAGGAGATGGAGGCGCACTACGAGTACCAGGCCAAGCACGAGGACGTGCACGACGCGGCGAGCCTGGTGACCTTCGTGAACAATTCGCCCAACGGCGTCGTGGCGTCGGAGGTGTTCGACTGCTACGTCGGCGCGGAGCGGGACGTGGAGAACAGGGCAGGACAAGAGAGCGAAATTCCCAACTTCAAAGGCTCCTTTCTCGGCCGTTTTCCACTCGTTTCGGCTGATTTTTGGACGAGCGATCATCTCTCGGAACGGTCTCGACGCGTGGATGTTTTTCTCGTGACGCGCGCGCGCGAAACACTCACGTTGAAGCGACGTTGAATCTCTCTTGTCCTGCCCAGGTGGAGAAGGCGATCGTCGGCGGCGCCGTCGTCGCGACGCTGGACGCGACGACGCGGCGCGTGGGCCTCTTCCCCCGGGGCGCGCCCTACCTCGTCCGCTTGACGGGCGACGCGAAGCCCAGGGACGCGCGGACCGTGGCCACGGCCAAGGACGTGACGACCGAGGTCCGGCGCGGCGACGCCGTCGGGTTCGTCCTCGACGACGGCGCGGACCCGCCCGTCGCCTGGCACCGCGTGTCGTCCCGCGTCCACGCGTCGGGCAGCCAGCCCAAGCGCGCCGAGCGGCCGCTCGGGGCGACGTCCCTCAAGGAGATGCACAGCGCGAACGAGTACTGCGACCGCTTCGACGCGGGCGTTTTGCCGGTGAACGAGGACCGGCTCGACTGCGGCGGCCGGCCGCGCTTCGGCCTCGTACGCCACGGCGCGTCCAACGACGTGCGGGCGTTGTGGCTGGAGACGGCGGCGGAGACGCCCGTGGACCACGCGCAGCTCGAGCGGAAATTGGTGGAGGCGAAGTTGAACGCGAAGATCAGCCGCAAGTCGAACAAGCGGCCGGGCCGCAAGCAGGAGGACGAGGCCAAAAAAAAACGGCGCGTCAACTCGCGGTTCCAGCGCCTGACGAACACGCATTTGGTCGGCACGCCCATCGGCGACGTCCTCGCGGCCGCGTTCAACGCGGACCCGGCCGCGGACGGCGCGACGGGCGGGACGCGGTTCACGGGCTCCTAGGCTCGCTCTAACGCGGTTCACGGGCTCCTAGGCTCGCTATACGCAGGGGGGCGCGCGCGTCTCTCGCGGGTGCTTGGGGGGCGGCGGGGCATGCTCGTTCCGAGCCGCCGCCTAGGTGTCGAGGTTCGAGAGGAGGCCCGGGCCGGCCTGCGACGAGACGACGTCGTACATCTTGCCCTCCGTGGGGATGCCGGCGGGCGAGAAGATCTTCGCCCGGTCCATGACGAGGTCGAGCTCCTGCTCGGAGATCTCGTCGGCCGTGGCGTTGTCGCCCGCGGCGCCGATGCGCTGCGCGATGTTGACGTCGTCGTTGAGCAGCGACCGGAGGCCGTCCGTCGTGAGCTCCCCGCGGCTCCGGCGGCCCGCCTTGTTGTAGTCGCCGCCCTGGACGGCCATGCGCTCGAGCTTCTTCTTGGAGATCTGCTTCTCCATCATGCCGATCTCCGCGCTGCCGCTCGTGAGGAAGCGGTAGACGACGACGTCGCGCTTCTGGCCGATGCGGTGCGCGCGGTCCATCGCCTGCGCGTCCTGGTGCGGGTTCCAGTCGCTGTCGAAGAGGATGACCGTGTCCGCCGTCGCCAGGTTGATGCCCAACCCGCCCGCGCGCGTCGACAGCATGAAGACGAAGTACTCGTTGGACTCCTGGCCCTCGCCGTTGAAGGCGTCGATCTGCCGCTGGCGCTCCGAGAGCTCGACGCCGCCGTCGATGCGGAAGTAGTTCCACTCGCGCCAGCGCAGGTAGTCCTCGATGATGTTCAATAACTCCGTCATCTGGGAGAAGAGCAGCACCTTGTGGCCCTGCGCCTTGAGCTTGGGCAGGATCCGCTCGAGCAGCCGGAACTTGCCCGCGGCGTTGACGAGCGCCTTCGGCGTCGCCACCCCGATAAACTCGCCGTTGGCGTCGCGGGGCTCGCCGAAGAGGAAGGGGTGGTTCGCGTTCTTGCGCTGGTTCATGAGCATGTTCTGCTCCGAGACCTCGTGCGACGTCGCGGGGATGCCCGCGGCGATGAGCGAGTCCTTGAGCTTCCGCTCCAGGATCAGCGCCTCGTAGGACTTCTGGAGGGGCGTCATGGGCGCGTAGACGACGATCTCCTTCTTGTCCGGGAGCACGCCCCGGAGCACGTCGCTCTTGACGCGCCGCAGGAGGAAGGGCCGGAGGATCTCGTGGAGCTTCGTGACGATGCGGTCCTTGGACTCGTCGTCGATGATGTCGTCGACCTGCGTCTCCTGGCCGATGTTGCGGAAGCCGAACCAGGACTGGAAGACGTTGAGGTCGTCGAAGATCTGCGGGTTCACGAAGTTGAGCAGCGACCAGAGCTCCTCGAGCGTGTTCTGGATCGGCGTGCCCGACAATAACAGCCGGTTCTCCGTGTTGAGCTTCTTGAGCTCGCGGACGAGGCGGCAGTCGCGGTTCTTGACGCGCTGGCCCTCGTCGATGATGAGGTACTTGAACTTGAAGTGGGACAGGGGCGCGCGGTCGATGATGCAGACCTCGTAGGACGTGACGATCACCGGGAAGTCCTCCTCGTTCTGCAGCGACGTCGCCATGGCCGTCTTCCTCAAGTCCGCGCGGTGCTGCTTCGAGCCGTGGTAGAGCAGCGCGCTGATGCCGGGCACCCACTTCTTGAACTCGTTCATCCAGTTGGGCAGCGTCGCGAGCGGCGCGGCGACGCAGATCGGGCCCTTGACGTTCTTCTCGCGGATGTGCGCGATTAAGGCGATGACCTGGATGGTCTTGCCCAGGCCCATCTCGTCGGCGAGGATGCCGCTCAAACCGTTCTCGAAGAGCGTCGCGAGCCAGCGCAGGCCCTCGACCTGGTAGGGCTTGAGCGTGCCGCCCGTCATGCCCGTCGGCTGCTGGACCAAGTTCCGGTCGCCCTTCATCTTCGCCTGGGCCTCGGCCATCTCCGCCGCGGCGTCGCCGGCCTCGCCCTTCTTCTTCTTCTTCGACGACCCGCCGCCGGACGTCGACTTGCGCTTCGACCCGGCCTCGGGCTCGGGCTCGGGCTGCGCGGCGGACATCTGCGAGTTGACGATGAACGCGGAATACTGCTCGGCCTTGGCCAGCAGCGTGTCGAGCTGGGCCTTCTTCGCCGCGGGGCGCGACGACTGCTCCAGGAGGCTGTCCGAGCCCTACGAATTTTGCGGGGGGTCGAGGGTTCCGCGGCCGGCGCTATCGACGCGCTTCGGACGCGGCCGCGCGCCTCCGCGCGCGCGGCGGCCTGCAGCAGCACGGGCGCGCTCGTCGGGGCCGCCTGCGGGGGCGCCGCGGGTCGCGCGGGCGCCGACGTTCCATGCCCCCGCGCCCGGCGGGGGCCGGACCTCCCGACCCCCACATTTCCGCGATCGCGGACGCACCTCCTCGTCCTCGGCGCCCTTGGCCAGCAGCTCGTTCACGCGCTCCTCCTCGAGGTCCTCCACCGTCTTCTGCTCGCCGTTCTCGCTCACGGAGTTGCGGCGCGCGCACGGGGCTCCATTTTTGTCGGAGTCAACCTCGGCCATCGTCGCGGCGGTCAGTCGTGGCGCGCAGCTCTCGACTCGAGGTTCGAACGCTTCGGCTGCCCGTCCGGGACGACGCCGAGCTGAGCCGCCGGCTCGACACCCGGACACCAAGGCCGCTCGACGCATTCCTGGCGCCGTCGCGGGAAGGCTCTGCGAACGCACCGCAGCCACTTCGGGCCCGCGCGCGCGGACGCGCGCGGGCCGGGCGACTCCGACGCGGCGTAGGACGTCTCGCTCGCCCCCAATCGTCGCCCGGAAGACTCGAAACACCCCAAATGAGGCGTCCGGGGACTCGTCCAGGCGCGGTGGCGTCGTAAAAAAAGGTCAACGATCGAACCTTGCACTGCCAAAACTCGATGTGTTGCCAGTGCGCGCCGGTTCGAAGATGAGCGGCGCCAATGGGACCATCCCCGCGGTCAAGAAGGACGAGGTGACGCGGCGCACGAACGAGGGCAAGTCCGTGATCCTCTTCGGGCTGCTCTTCACGGACCTGCTCCTCAACAGCACCCTCGAGTGAGGCTGCCCCGCGCCGGACCACCGCCGGCCGCGCGACGCCGCCGCGCCGCAGGTACGACGAGTACAACAGCTACCCGACCATGTTCGGCATCCACCTCTTCGTCCAGCTCTGCTGCTTCGTCGTCGTCTTCCTCATGCTCTGCGCGCGGCCCGCGCCCGCCGACGCCGCGCGCGCGCCCGTTGCGAGCGCCCGCGCCGCAGGCGAGACGTACCCCTTCCGCGTCGGGCTCATCGACGCCCTCCTCGCCGAGTTCCGCGCCGTGCTCTGGATCCACCCCACGCGCGAGCCCGGCGCGCCGGCCGCGGCGCCGCCCCCCCCCCGGACGCGCCGCCGCAGGTACTTCTTCCTGACGCTGTTCCTCGGGCTCTACCGCATCATCACGCTGCCCGTGCTCGCCGCGGGCCGGAAGAAGTTCCGCAAGAACAACGGCATGTGGGACACGTCGACGCAGGCGGGGCTCCGCTACACGTCGATCTCGCACGTTCACAAGATCGTCGCGGCGATCTACTACTTCGTCAACATCCGCGCGGCCGTGCGCCTCGGCGACTCCATCTACTACGCCAAGGACTCCTGGGTCACGCTCTTCCACCAGACCGGCGGCTCCCAGCGCGAGCTCCGGAAGCTCCTCCAGCGCCGCCACAACACCATGGAGGACATCACGACGCGGTGACGGTAAAGGGGGTGCTTTACTTCTCCTTCTTGGGGCGCTTGGCCGCCGGCGCGGGATCGAGGGCGTCGACGTCGATGGCGTTCTTGCGGAGCTCGGCGTCGCGCGCCTCCTGGGTCCGCGCGCCCGTGATCTCGACGTCGGACAGCGTGCGGAACTTGGACGAAGGGCCTACCGCGCTCCATCCGAAGGCGCTCTTCGCCGCGACAAAGACCTCGTACTCTGTGTCCGGCTGAAGTCCTGAGACGACCTCGCCTGCCTTGGCCCTAGGAGCTGGTGTGGCCTTCCCTGTATGGCAGAGCGTGTGCGTCCTATTGTCGACAACCTTGCGCACAGACCCTTGCTTGAAGAATATGGTCACGAGCGTGCAGTCCTCCATCAGCGCGCATCGCACCCGGACACTGTCTTGCGTGATCTTGTCGAGGAGCGGCGCGCACGGCGCCTCGGGAACGTGGTCCGCGAGCTTCATCGGCTTGCTCCACGGGCCTCGCGGACCCCAGCAGCTGCCGTTGTAGGCCAAAAGCGCAACCCTGTACGTAATCGCATTCGAGAGGCCCATGACGACGATGCTGGGGCGCTTGCTCTGTACGTTTGTGAGACATGAGCCACCAGCTTCCCGCGGCCGAAGCGTGAGATCTGGTTTGACTGCGTGCTCACCCGTAACGGCTTGGAAGATCATGTTGACATTAGCGCAGTCCGGTGGAGCAGCAAAGGTCACTTTGATCTCGGAACTCGACACAGCTTCGAGCAGCGGCGCCTGGGGCGCGACGGGCGGTACGATGGTGAGCGGCGCGCTCGCCGGCGAAGTCGGTCCGAAGTCGAAGTCGTCCGCGCCGCGGAAGGACACCGTGGCTGTGTACTCCACGCCGCCATCGAGGTTGTTGACTTCGACGCTCTTGCTCTTCACTGACTTCCTGCCGGCGCCCTTCGTCGCAAGCGAGATGACCTTGCCGGTCTTACCATCTGGGAGGACCGACTTGAGCTCCGCGTCGTAGAACGCCTTGCCATAGCTCGAGGAAAAGTAGACCACCGCGACACTTGCTGCAGCGGGCACGTCAAATGACACCGTCACCTTCGAACCCTCGATTTTGAGGACTGGCGCGGCGGGAGCCGCCATCGGGGCTGCCTCCTCCGAGGCCGAGCTGTGGCAAAGATGATCTCAAGATGCACTTCAACACAGAGGGAATTACACAAAGTCGTGGGCGGCGACGCGGGGCTGCGTCGCGGGTCGTGGTGCTTGGGGGTTATGGGGCGACGCGGGGCGTCGCGGGTCGTGGTGCTTGAGGTTTGTGCCGGCCTCAGACGTCGGCGAAGGACGTGAGGGCCCAGCACTGGTCCGTGGAGTCGAGGGGGTCGTCGAAGGGCTCGTACTTGGACTTGCAGCGGCCCTCGTAGCCGTAGCCGTGGTCCTCGTTCGCGTCGCGGCACGTCTCGAGGTCGTAGGCGCCGACGGGCATGCGGTAGTCGCAGCGCGAGACGACGCCCTTCGTGCGCTCCCAGTCGCAGCAGCAGAAGAGGGACCCCGCGTAGCCGCGGAACCAGTGGTCGCGGATCCACCAGCCGTAGGTCGCGTCGTCCGTCGAGCCGTGGCAGTGGCCCGTGAGGTCGTCGTTCGCAGTCTCGTTGCAGTGGTCGAAGTTGAGGTCGCCCCCGAGCGTGCCCTTGCTCGTCCAGCCGTCCTGGGGCATGATGCGGCAGAACCAGCCCGCGCCGCCGCAGTCGACGGGGCCGTCGAGGTACGCGGCGCGCGCGCCCTTGGCCTCGCAGGCCGCCGACAGCGGCGCCGCGCACGCGCCGCCGTCGAGGAGCGACGGCGTCGCCGGCGTGTCGTCGTGGTAGCGCGCGTTCGGGTAGGTCTCGGCGTCGTCGGCCCAGGGCGGGCCGGCGTCGTCGGCGCACTGCTGCGACGGGCCCTCGGGGCTCGCGAGGCCCGCGCCGCCGCCGTGGGGCGCGAGCGTCGGGCGCGGCGTCGACGACGTCGGCTCGGGCGTCTCGCAGCCGCAGGACGTCGGGGAGGCCTCGTAGCCCGTGCGGTCGCCGAGGCCCTCCTTGGCGCACCGCTTGGCCTTGCCCTTGGTCCAGCCGCAGTTCTTCTTGCTCTTCTTGTAGTACCACGACGCGTCGTCGGCGGGACAGTCATCGTCCTCCTCGTCGCAGGCGCCGCAGGTCTCCGCGCACGCGAGGTCGGCGCCGCTCTTCTGGCAACGCTTCTTCGCCTTCTTGGCGACCCAGTCGCAGTCCTTCGACTCCTTCTTGTAGTACCAGCTCGACGAGTCCTCGCAGGAGGCGTTGTCGCAGTAGCCGTCGCAGGCCTCGCAGCCGGCCTCGCAGGCGCTCTGCATGGAGCCGTCCTTCTGTTCGAACTGCTCGGCGCCGTAGGCCGCGCACCACGATCCCGTGAGGACGTCGGAGGAGCAGTCGTTGCCGGAGTCGTCCCGCCACTCGGCGCCGGAGGCGGACGCGGCGGCGGCGACGAGCAATTTGAACGCGCGGAGCTGCATGGTCTTCTTGTTTTGCTGCGTGCTAGGCGGGACTGTGCTTGCTATTTCGCCATGCGTGCCGAGAAGTCGAGGGGCATTGTGGCGGCACCCAAATTTGTTGGACTAGGTATTGAAGGGGATGCCCGACCTCGGTTCCGTTTGTTGCGTGCAAGGCCGACACGATGCCCCAAGAAGCCTCTTTCGCTGCCCCGACAAAACGCCCATCTCCATGGGGATGCTCTATCGACGCCGATGTTCCGCCGAATCGTGAGCGTTCTGGTCGCCGTCGCGGCCGGCGCCGCGGGCGCGTCGCCCTGGGCGGACGAGCGGCGCGAGCTCCAGGTCTGCGTCTGCGGCGGCCCGCCCATGTGCACCGACGGCGGCTGCTACGAGCCGCTCCAGGGCCAGGACTGCGACAACGGCAGCCCGCCGGAGCAGGATCTCTGCGCCGACTGCTCGTCCTGCAACACGGGCGCGCCGACGAGCCAGCCGGCCGCCGAGCGGCGCGCCCACGGAGTACTTCTGCTACTGCTCCACGAGCAAGCCCGTCTGCATCGAGGGCGGCGTCGACGCGTGCTACGAGCCCCAGGGCGGCCTGCCCTGCGACAACGGCTCGCCGCCGAACAACCAGCTCTGCGACGACTGTGTGACGGTGTGCATCGAAGATCCGACGCCGGAGCCGTCCGTGTCGCCGACGACGGCGACGCCGACGACGGCCGCGCCGACGCCGCCGCCGTCCTCCGCGCCGAGCGGCGCGCCATCCAGCAACCCGAGCCCGAGCCCGTCGTCGCCGCCGTCGGCGTCGCCGTCCGCGGCGCCGGCGCCGCAGCCGTCCGCGGCGCCGGAGCCCGCGCCGACGACGGCGTCGCCCGCGCCGACGCCGCGGCCCGCGCCGCAGCCGACGACGGCGCCGACGGCCGAACCAACGACCGCCGCGCCGTCGAGCGCGCCGTCCGCGGCGCCCACGGCGCCTCCGTCGAGCGCGCCGACGGCGTCGCCGTCGCCCGCGCCGGCGCCGGCGCCGTCCGCGAGCCCGTCGCCCGCGCCGTCGCCCGCGCCGTCCGCGGGCCCGTCCGCGCGCCCGTCCGCCGGTCCGTCGCCCGGTCCGTCGCCCGCGCCCTCGGCGAGCCCCTCGTCGCGTCCCTCGGCGAGCCCCACGGCGCCTCCGTCCTCCGGCCCGACCGCCGCGCCGTCCGCGGCCCCGACCGCGGCGCCGTCCGCGTACGCCGACGACGGCGCTCCCGTCCGCGGCCCCAACGATCTCGTCGATCCCGACGCCGGCGCCGTCGGCGTCGCCCGTCCCCACGGTCCCGCCGACGCATACGCTGTGCGACCCGGGCTACTACTCCGAGGACGTCACGGGCGCGGGCTGCGCCGCGTGCCCGGCCGGAAAAATATCCGCCGAGGCCGGCGCGTCGGCCTGCGCCATGTGCCCCGTGAACACCTACGCGTCGACCGTGGGCTCGACGGAGTGCGTCGACTGCGCGGCCGGCCGCCAGTCGGCTTTGGGGTCCCAGACCTGCGGCTTCTGCGCGGCGGGCCAGTACGAGACCGTCGACGGCGACGGCGACGCCGCGTGCGTCGACTGCGACGCGGGCGCCTACCAGCGTCCTGTGGCGGTGACGATTTTCGAGAGATTTCGACCGGGAAAACGAAGAGACATCGTTATGCTCGGTAGGCACCTACAGCCCCGTCGGGTTCTACTGCCTGAGCTGCGCTTTGCAGGGCAGCACAAGAGAGCGAAATTCCCAACTTCAAAGGCTCCGATCTCGGCCATTTTCCACTCGTTTCGGCTGATTTTTGGACGAGCGATCATCTCTCGGAGCGCTCTCGAAGCGTGGGTGCTGTTTCCGAAACGCGCGCGCGCGGAACACTCACGTTGAAGCGACGTTGAATCACCCTTGTGCTGCCCAGGCGGCGCGGGGTCCGCGACCGCGGACACGGTGGACTGCGTCGTCTGCGCCGCGGGCACCTACAGCGCCGGCGACGCGAACTCGGAGTGCGCGCCGTGCGCCGCCGGGCGCGCGTCGTCCGCGGGCGCGTCGGCCTGCGACGCCTGCGACGCCGGCCGCTTCGCGAACGCTACGGGCGCGGCGACCTGCGACCTCGCGGCGCCGGGCTTCTACGTCGCCGAGGCCGGCGCGGCGGCGCCGGAGCCGTGCCCCGCGGGCACGTTCAGCGCCGGCGCCGCGGCCACAGCCTGCGAGGCCTGCCCCGCGGGCACGTACGCCGCCGGCGCCGGCGCGACGGCCTGCGCGATCGCGAGCGAGGACACGTACGTCGCGGCGCCGGGCGCGTCGGAGGCGACGGCCTGCGCGGCGGGCCTCTGCGCGGGCGCCGCGGCGACGGAGTGCGCCGACTGCTACGCCGTCTGCGACTTTTTGCCGACCACAAACCCGACGACGCTGCGCCCGACGACGGCGGCGCCGACGCCGCGGCCGAGCCCGGCGCCGTCGCCGTCGCCGACGCCGCCGCCGACCGCCGCGCCGACGCCGCGGCCGTCGCTCGCGCCGACCGTCGCCACGGCCGCCCCGAGCCCGAAACCGACGCCCGCGCCGTCGCCCCGCCCGTCCGCCGCGCCGACGACCGCGGCCCCGAGCGCGAGGCCGTCCGTCGCGCCCACGGGCGCGTTCCTGCGGATCTCGTCCGTCGGCGTCGGGTCGACCTGCGTCCTCAACGAGGCCTGCGTCCTGTCGTGGACGTTCCAGGGCGACGGCTGCGAGACGCTCGACGTCTCCGTCGTCGACGGCGACGGCGACCTCGTCACTTCGGAGACCACGGACAACGACGGCCAGGAGATCAAAGAATTACCCGGCGACGGCGACCTCGACGGCCAGACCTTCACGCTGACGCTCGCGTGCTCCGACGACGCGGCGCTCGCCGACGCCTACGACTTTCTCGTGTCCTTTTATCCCGCGCCGTCTCCGGCGCCGACGCCGGCCCCGACGCCCGAGCCGTCGTCCAAACCCACGGCGACGCCCTCCGGCGCGCCGTCGCCGCGACCGTCGCCGGCGCCGACGCCCGCGCCGACGCCCGCGCCGTCGGCGGCGCCCTCCGGCGCGCCGTCGCCGCGACCGTCGCCGCCCCCGAGCCCCGCGCCGACGCCCGAACCGTCCCCGAAACCGACGCCGTCGCCGTCCACCGCCGCCCCCTCGGCCAACTGCGCGCCCGGCTTCGTCGTCGCCGACGACGACGCGTCCGAGTGCCCGGCCGGGACCTACGGCCTCGCGGGCGAGTCCTACTGCGTCGACTGCCCCGCGGGCTCCTTCGCGGCCGCCGCGGGCGCGACGACGTGCACGGTCGCGTCCGCGGGGTCCTCCGTGCCCGCGGCGGGGTCCACCGCGCAGACCGCGTGCGCCCGCGGGACGTACGCCGCGAGCACCGGCATGAGATCGTGCGCCGCGTTGCCCCGCGGGCGCCTACGCCCCCGCCGCCGGCGCCACGGCGTGCACGCGGGCGTCCGCCGGGTTTTATGTCGCTTCGGACTGGGCCGTCGC